TGGCTACATGAAGTCGCAATGGCAGCGGACTACGCATGGAGCTGCTTTAACAATATAAAATCTGCTACGACACCTCGTTCCTCCTACGCTCTTGTTTCCAAGGCATTCTCTTCGCTCCTGATTTTATGGCACTGCTTCATATCGTAAAAGGGCAATATGTTCTTCAGACTCCTGCATGCTCTTAGTCTCTTACTCATCACTGGGGTTCCAATCACGGAATCAGTTGCAGTTCATTCTCAACCGCCCAATGTAACCATTAATTCGATCTCAGCGAAAGGTCCTGGGTGTCCCCTGGACACTGTGTCAGCAACGACGAGCTACGATGGAGACACCATAACCTTTGGTTTTGACCAGTTTCATCCTTACATTGGCCCTGGGTATCCAGCGTTTGAACGATCCAAGACTTGTACCATCCGCCTGAGGCTCGGTCATGCCCTCGGATACGGCTTCGAACTTGTGGACGCTGTATACCACGGATCCGCGCGGTTAGACGTCAACTTGAGCGCCACGATTCAATCCTCCTACGAAATCATCGACGACAATCTAGGGGGTGCGAATGCACAAACCGAAGTTACGGCTTCCGGCGAGCTCTTTGGTATTTACACGTTGGTCGGCGTTCCAAAAGACTCAACGATTGTGTCCAAGTATGGCCGGGTCGAGAACGAGCTGCAGGTTACAACACGAGTCACATTAATGTCGCGGTCTGCTTCGAATTGGGGAAGCATAGATGACAATCCTCCATTCTTGCTCAAGGTTCAGCAACTTCACTTGAGGTGGTTGGCGTGTGACATTTGATATTGTACTGGCTCATTTTGGTTCCTTACACATTTATTTGGCGCAGTTATGCTTGACCCAGCTATTGAGCGAATGCCCTGATGTTTGATCGGTATTCCTTCGGCTGTCTCCCTGCACCGGGGCCCAACAATACCCCCAAAACCTCGGGGAGTTTCTGGTGCCGCTGAAAAAAGTTACATGTTGGGCAAATCAAGCGAGCATCGCGTCACATTTCCGGCAAGCAATGACTGAAAGACGGCGGCAACCAACGGGTACAAAGTGAGGCAGAACCCGACGCATGAAGCATGCCAGAAAGGAACCAGTTGAATTGGCTGAACAATGGCTAGTTAGTTCGGCTGTGTGTTGAGTTCAATACCATGGGACCATTAGAAGTGAGAATGCAAAAAAAGAGCAGTTGAATTCGTCAATCATTGACAATCTGGGGAGATTTGCAGATGACCATGTTCAGCTCGAAACCGATTTGCCCACTCAATTGTCCCAGCATCAGATGACGACCTACTCTGTGGGGATTCTGCCTTGCGCATTTAGCAGGAGCGGAAGGCGCTACCACACAGGCGGCCTGCTCTGCCTGGCGCTGCCACCACCGCGACCCCAAAACAGCAGCCCTGTGAGTCACAGGGCTCAACGCACCAATCGGGCGCCTCCTCAACCCACCAACACAGAGGCACGGCCTTGCCCAATAAACTTGGCCGCCCTGCCCGCACACCATGACTCTAACGCCGTTGCAGATGAGGCCAATAAGCGGCCGGGACGATTCACACATCGCGCCCTAGTGTATAAGATAATGAATGTTCTTCCCTTGTTCGAGCATTTTCGCGGCGTTTCGGTCAGAGATTTTGCAACTCAGTGCATCACCGGCGAGAGTGTTCGCTTTGCTAGGCACCAGGCACACACGGCAAGCCGACCGAATTTGACTGATAGCGCAACACAAGAAAAAAGGACAACTAGGCACTTTTGGACAAAGGGTTTCCAAGAGCTTCTTTAAAACACCCCCGATGGGCCTCCTCCTTCGACATTCCAACTCTTTCACTCATTGTTCTGAGGGTCCATCCCCGAGCAGGCTTTCCAACCAGGCCTCGGACCTAGACCAGGACCGGGACCTTTGGGAGCCGTCCCCTGACCGGCACCGACCTATCCGGTACAATCACTCCAGCCAGTCTCGTTCAAAAAGTACCCGGATCTCGGATCGGAAAACAATCTCCTCCGAGCAGCACCTCAACGATCGGTACACCTGCGCGGCACATCGCCATGAGATAAGACTCAACCGTCTCTGTGGCCCGCGCTATAACCGCAACCGCAACCATCAAACACACCATGTCAAGCCGCGCGGCTCCTTCGCCGCGGACGCCGAGGAAGGGCGCGCCCTAGCGCGGTCCTCGTCGGTCGTGCTTCCCGGCGAACCTCTTGCTACTATTTCTTCTCCTTCCTCCGTTACGAGCAGTCAGCAGCAGAAGCAGGAAGACCGATTATCGTCGTCAGACGAGAAATGGAGGAGGACTAATAGCAGGAGGAGCAGGAGCTGCGAGTCTTCAATTTCCTTTGTTCCCCAGGGACAAGAAGAGGGAGTGAACAACAGGCGGCGCCCGCCGTCGCTAGAGAGACAGGACGCGTTCCGCGACGAAAGGACAGCGAAGCGGAGGCGCGCCGAGTCGGGGTGCAGATTGCAGAAAGAGGAGGATTATAACGGTGATGAGTTCGAACGGGAACGAGAATGCGAACACGAACGGGCGCAGGTCGCAGAGCTGTACCGCATCGGCCTGCTCTACGACGACGAGCACGAGCGCGGCGAGGGATTCTCGCTCGACCGTATCATCCGCGACGAACCGGCCTACTCGCTCCGAGTGCGCCCTACGCCTGGGCGTACGCAGAGGCATTGGGCCGGGCGGGACAGACCCGCGGGCGGTGACTACGTGTCCTTGTCGGCGGCGGTGGACTTGGCGTTTTCGGCGTTTGGCGAGGATGAGACATTAGCTCGATGGATGCTCTCTGGTTCTTCTTCTTCTTCTTCTCTTTCGGGTTCTATGGATTCGGATTTAGATCGGGCGGCGGGAGAGGAAGAGGCCCGGCCTTGGAGGGAGGCCATGCGTGATACCCCCCGGTTAACGGTCCTTTACGAGCTAGCTGACGACGCTGTTTCGGCGGTGTCGGCTGGTGATTCTCTTGATGATATTTCTGTTTCTGAGCTTTCTTTTGTCGGTAATGGAGAACTTGGCGACGACGAGCTGGTTTGGGCCATGCTCGACGGGAATGATGGAAAGACAGCGCCCGAGGCGGTGAATGCTGTGGTGGGAGAGGACGAGGGTGTCGACCCTTGGGTCGTGCTGGGCCATGACGGCTCGTAGCAGGTCCGCCAAAAAGACCCCCGACTGCCCTGGGTCTCGACCGGCCATGCAGCTGCGCGCTGCGCTCGGACTGGCCTTCTGAACGGCCCAGCACCCCAGGGGACGATAATTGGACATGTCGGAGGTTAACAAGCTGTGTGCTCGCGGCCCTTGGCTGCTCGAGCTCGCTTGTGAAGATGGAGACGAGTTGGACATGTACATGTGCAGGACTTGTACCACCACTACTGTTGCTGAGCGGGCGCTGCATTACTTGTTTTTTTTTTCTTTTCTACGACTTCTTTTCTTAATCTTCGCATTTAGTCTAATTAGAAGGTTTTGCATTTTTCTATGATTTATGAGTAACGATATTCACTGCCAGACTTCTCAGTACTTGAATTTGACGCATGTAGATTTTAACTTCAACCAGAATCCTTGATGTAATTCATTAGAGTGATGCGAATCTCGTTTTCCCAAATGGGCAATGGTTACACTGATGCAACTTGGGTTGTTGAGCTGTATGTTGTTGACTCCACACAGACGGTTCCGTCCTGCAATCGTCAGCTTTCTGCAGGATCTGCGTTACGCCCTTCAATTAACACGCTAAATAAGCGGAGAGGCGGCTCTGTCAAGAGGGCGGACTCGTTCAGTGAGCTCGGAAGCCGTCGGCTGTACGCGGTTCTCACTCCTTGAGGACCAGCATAAAGTCAAGGCGTTTTGAGCTGTGATGACGCTTGCCCAGGCTCCACGACTTTTCGCTAAACGAGTGATTCGAAGACCAGCTTTACTCGCCTAGAAAAACCATCACCGCCAATTTGTGTGCTCAAGACTTCAAGATTTACACACCAACATCAAGAACAACAATATATCAACACAATGGCCACCCCTTCCATCACCGCTGTCGCGGCCCAGGCCACTGCCTTCAAGGCTCTGCACGTGCCGGGCAAGCCGCTGCTGCTGGCCAACGTCTACGACGCCTCGTCAGCGCGCGTCATCGGGTCATTACCGGGGTGCAGAGCGCTGGCGACGGCGAGCCACGCGCTGGCGCGGACGATCGGGACGACAGACGAGCGGCTAACGATGGAGCAAAACCTTGCATTGGCGGCGCCGATCGCGGCAGTCGCGCGCGAACTGGGCCTCCCGCTGACACTCGACATCCAGGACGGCTACGGCGAGCGGCTCGAAGAAGTTGTGCGACACGCCGTCGTCGATCTGGGCGCCGTTGGGGTCAACCTCGAAGACTCGCGACATGAAACCGAGGAAATCATGGGCGAGGACGAGGCGATCGAGCGGGTGCAGCGGGCGCTGCGGGTCGCGGCCGAGCTGGGCGTGCCGGACTTTGTGGTCAACGCCAGGTCGGACACCTTCTTGACGGGAGGCGAGCTGGACGAGTCGATCCGAAGAGGGAAGAAGTTGCTCGAGGCTGGAGCGACGACCGTGTACGTATTTTGGCCGCGGCACAAAGAGATGGTTGAAACGGATGTGCAAAGGGTAATTGACGGGTTGGGCGGAAGAGCCAATATTCAACCACGGAAGGTCTCGCCAGTGCAACCCAAGGCGCTGACTAGTGCCGATATTGCGAGGATGGGCGCGGCGAGAGTTAGCGTTGGGCCGCAACTCTACAACGCTGTCGTAGCTACGCTGACGGAGGCGGCGAATGAGGTTTTTGCTGTGTAAGATAAGAAGGCATGGTGGTGACGTTAGTCGTGGATGGGTGGAGAGTTCGAGTTCAAGCATGGTCAAATTAGGGATGAGTCACGTTAACGACTGAAAGAATTTTCGCGAGATTGAAAAGAATAAGACATTATTGACTCATTGGAAGGATTGAATCATTTGCTGGGTGAGCAAGAGAAAAAGAACGTGTCGAACAGCGGTGGACAAAAAGATGGGCCGAGCCAGGGCTTGAACCTGGGACCACTTGCAAGCTTAAGTTCAGAACCCAAAGCAAGTATGCTACCACTACACCACACGGCCTTTGTTGAAAGAGCAACCGCTGCAAACCGCTTTTCAGCACAGCCAGCTGCACACAGGCTCCGGCCAGTCGCTGGTTCCTTCTCAATAATCGCAACTGGTGGTGCAATAGCTATTTTAACTGTTTAAAAAACACGGAATCACGGGGACTTTAAAAAGGAGTTTTAAATTTTTCGAATGCTCCAGTCAGACCCGGTAGGTACTCTTCGCTGCACTCTTGGCTGCACCACTACAGAGCCCCTGAACCCCTGAATTCGAGGATCCTTATGTCCCACGCATGCACTACTTTCAGCGCGATTTGGCCTCAAGCTCGGCCAAGATGTCATCGCTGGCCTTCTGCCCAATCATGAATGTTGACACAGCCGGGAAAACTCCCGGAATCCGGGCGAAGGCACTCGCGTCGACAACGCGCAGGCCGCTCACGCCTCGGACGCGGAACTTGGAGTCAAGTACGGCCATGGGGTCGTCCTCGGCGCCGATCCTGTTGGTTGATGTCGGGTGATGGCCAAACGTCTGCTTGTGAATCCAGTCTTCGTCCTCCTGGCCACAGTAACCTTCCTCGTCGGGCCCTTGCTCGCAGGGCGGTTCAAGCGTGGTGATGCCTACGCGCCGGTAGACAGTGCGGATCCAGGCGATCGTGTCCTTCATCGCCTCGAGGTCGAACTCGGCGCCGACGGCGAAGTGGTTGAAGTTGATCTCAGGCGTGTCGGTGGGGTCGGTACTACGCAGCTTGACCCAGCCGCCGCTGTTGATGCTGGATCCCTTGACCATGCTAACACCGTATAGGGGCTGCCGGGCCGGCTCGGATGGTACGCGGACCGGGTTGTCCGGCCAGAAGCCGCGGAAAAGAAAGCCGGGACCGCCCATCAGAAACATGTCGCGCTCCCCGTGCGCCGGATGTCGCGTCTTGTACATGGCTAGGCCTGCGATAGCGCCCGGGTTGCCGCCCGCGCTGCCCGTGCCTACGATAGGCATCTCTTGGTTGTCCATCAGGTTGCGCCCCACCCCCGGCAGGTCCACCACCACGGGTATTCCCAGAGCTTCAAGCTCGGTCGCGTTGCCGACGCCGCTCAGTTGCAGCAACTGTGGCGAGTTAAAAGCACCCCCGGAGACGATCACTTCGCGCCGCGCGAGCGCCGTGAGCTTGGTCCCCGTTGCGTCTGGTGCCCGCCGTGTATCGCCCTTGTAAAGCGACTTACCAAAAAGGTACTCGACGCCCGTCGCCCGGGGTGTGGCTGCGGTGCCGGTGCCTGAGGAGGAATTGCCCATGTCGAAGAGGATCTTGGTGGCGAGCGAGGTCAGCGAAACAGTCAGGTTAGCACCGGCGCTGACGGCATCCTGGACGTAGTGGCGCGAACTATAGCGGTTGCCGTTTGCGTACTGGTGGCTGACCTGGCCGTAGATGCTGGAGGTTTGATCGCGGTCCGGGCTGATCTCGTTAGGGTCGCGGATCAGGAGGTCCGACATAGGCATGGTCAGGTTCCAGTCCTTGGCGTAGGTTGCCATGACGTTGTTGCCCTGCAGCGGGCCTGTCCGGTTGGTCTGTACCATGGTCCCCATCTGGGTCTGAAACCAGCCGTTGAAGCCGTGGTTTGCCGTGCCCTGAGGGAGGTAATTGTTCTTTTCAATTTTGGCGAATATCTTGTGCATGTTCTCGGCTCTGGAGGCAGTCAGGGGGTAAAGAAGCAAACACACATTGGGCACCTGAATTGCGGGCTTACCTCCAGCTATCGTCTCCGGTGACTTCGGCGTGGTAGTCCCAGTCGCTGTCGCTCGGCAGCCAGCATACCATGGCGTTGATCATGGACGACCCTCCGAGGGTAGCACCGCGCGGGTAGTAGACGCCCAGGAGCTCGGAGCCCTGGGGCGCGCCGCTCTGACCCACCCAATACCGACCCTCTGGAGTGAGCCATGTCAGGTGGCTGTACTGGTTGTCTCGAGGGTCGCCTTCAGGGTAGTGCTTGACGTAGAAGTTCCACGTCACGGTCGGTGTGTAACGCCCAAAGCCCTGGCCGGGGTTGTCGTCTCCTGCCTCCAGGAGCAGGACAGAGTACCCGGCCTTGGCGAGGTTCGCCCCGACAACGCCGCCGCCAGGTCCGCTGCCAATGACAATGTAGTCGTAAACAGCGCCATCCGGAGGAGCAGTTTGTGCTGCTGTCCACGGGCTGCGAACGACCAAGGTCAGAGATAGCAGCGTGCCCCAGACACCGCCTTGTCCGAGTTTTCGGAAAAACTTCATCTCGAGAAAGGATTTCTCTACTACAAAACAATAAGCTGACCCGTGCCTTCAGACATCACTAGATAGCTAGGTCCTATTACAGCAACAGTCAACGATGGATGGCACTGCTTTTGTAGAAATCGTTGCCGCTCATCATCTCTATCTGCGGAACAACCGCCACTCTCGCTCTCGTTCCCATTTTGGTAGCGGGCAGCCATATCCAGTCCCTGAGGGGTCTTGGGTAGCATCGTGAAATCTCAGAGGGATTGGACAATATCATGCAAACCTGCCAAGCCCGGAAAGAGCCTACGGCACAAGAGAGAGAAGGGGGTTTGTGGAAGCAGAGGCGCTCGGAGAATTGCCGATTGGACGACACACTACCCTAGTAAACTTCTCGGAGGAAACGTTGTCGGACTCCGTAACTGGAAAAAATCTCAGAAGCAGAAGGGACCAGGTGGTTTCATCGCGGTGCCTCTGGTCTTTTGCCAAGGGTCTGAGGTCACTCAGAGCCTGCCTATGGAGAAATGATAAGCTGCGGGGCTAGACCCAGCGTAGCACTCGGTGGCACGGCAGGCAGCTAACCCCTGGTCGTTTCTCAGAAGCTTATTCAACGGTTGAAAGAACGAAATGGTTGGGGAAATTCCGAGCTCTTTCCCACTTGGTGACGCCTGTTTACCGTGGAAGGTACTCCGTACGTACCTTCTAACGTCTGTGCCCCGTCGTGCCCGTGCACTTCTAGGTTGCAGCCACTTGCGTCCCTGCCCGTGCTAGTGCAGTTTAAGAAGGAAGGAGCCCATGCAAATATGACATATATGTACTGCGTATACTCGCTTAGAATAGCCGGACCTCAAAAAGGATGTAAACACCGACCCTCGGAGGGCATTAACCGTGCAATAAGAGCCTAGGCTCCCGTTTCAAGAAGATTTGGCGCACTGCATCATTGACTAATGAGAGAAATACCCACAGTGAATGGAACATGTCTATCTTCGGAGGGTGTGATGTTAATTCAACTCAGTGACGGACGATGGCTTCCATAAACATGGTGTCATCGTTCGCTCGACCGGTAGTTGCAGGAGAGCGTCTTTGCGAGTCCATCTACAGGTTTTCGTGTTCAAGTTCAGTCAGTCTCGGACAGCGTCGAAGTACTCCGCTAATGTCTTTGCTAAAGGTCTCTAGGCAAACATCCTCTTTCCTGTGTTAGCGGGCGCATAGCGGCACATACCGTTATGCTATGATGTTCTCCCGACGTTAAACCCCCTACGAATTCCTATGGCTTCGCTTTGGTCCTGACAGGTGGACCGAGTGGTCCTAGTTCCACGGCGCATTTAATGACTAATTGTACTACCTTAGATGTGTATTTTCTAGATTGCCACTTTGCATCTTGGTGGATTCCTTATGGCTAACTTTGTCTTTTCCATCTTCTTTTTCCGCTGGCCCTTCGTTCACAGATGTAAACTTTCCACCACTTTACCAGTCAGTGCGTTCTAGGGCTTTCCCAACATAATTCCTGGGCATGATAATGTACCTTGGTTGTGGTGGTATGGCGGTGTGGCCTCGTTTCAACGTTGTGGCGTATCTGTTAACTAGCCTAAAATGGTCTACAAATTACTTCAGGTCCAAAATCGGTTTCCCACATCATGTTGCAGGTGTAGCTCCGTTATTGAATTCCTTTCTCAGGTCCATTCTGAACGTGTACATATGCGATAACTATACGAGTCACAAGTAAAGATTGACCAAAAAGACCAAAACGTAACTCTGATTTGAGTTGTTACAAGAATCAGCTTCTTTAGTATCTCATCAACCATGACCTTTGTTCTTAACCTTATGCTAGCGACCAAGATGGAACTAGCCAAACTGACTTCAAGAGATAACCGGTTATTTATAAATACAAATCGAGAGAGCTTGGTACCTCCTATAGAGAGCAGTAGAAACTATTTATATGCTATCTAGCGTTTTCACAGGGTTTTCCCAAGCAATCAACAATCGTAGTGGATTATCATTTCCAAAGGACTGTCACCCCTACTTGATGTAGATTCCTAAGCTGAAAGCCCAATATCAATAATCTAAGATGACCGCTAAGGCTACTCTTTAGATCGTGACCTGCTCTCTCAAGCCAGGGTTGTTTGTTATGTCAATGCAGAATAACCATAAAATGTCCCCATGGCAACCGAAACGCCACAGGGAAAGTGGAAAAGAAACAATGCAGCGCCATACCAAACGCTACCTTATGGGTTAGCGTCATCTCCAATCTCATATTCCTCCTCGCTCTCCTGGCTGCCGCCATCCACGTCGTGATATTCAGAGCCGTTTCCCTCCAGGCGCGCTACGTACTGCTTCACAAATCGCCCGTCTGCCGCCAGCCCGGCATACATGAGCGGCGCCACCAGCACCGGCATTCCGCCGCCGGCGCCCGAGCTCACCTGCGCCTTAATGAAGGCGAGCTGATAGCCTGCCATCTGCCAGACGAACTTGGTGCTCAATCGGTGATACATTTGGAACGCCGTGCTCGCTTTCAATAGAGCCCAGTAGCTGGTCGAACCGGCGCCGCGGTCCGCCAGATACCGCTGCTCCAACAGCGCGGCCAGCTTGGGGTCGATCTCACTGGAGCTCACGCTATTAACCGAGGCGAAGTCGACCTCAAGCCACTTAGCGTACACCTTCTTGACTTTGTCCGGGTAGCTGAGCGTACCGTCGCGGCTGCTCATGATGCGCTGCCACTCGAGCTGGACGGCACGGATGGCTCGTTCAAGCGAGTCCAGGAGGGATTTCAGCGAGCTTGACTTTT